GGGAAAAGGACGGCGACTTCCTCCTTCACCTTCCTTCCCAATGCTGAGAATCAAACTAAACACAATATTAGGGGTCAACAAGTCAAAGAAGACGATTGAGCCAACATTCACTGTGAAGCCACGAAATTACTTGTTGATGAAGTTTATGTACGAGTGACGTTTATTTTGGCACATGGTTGTTTTTTAAAATTATTATTATTTTTTGAAATCTGCAATTTTAGCTTGGGAGCTTGACATGCCTCAAAATAAAAGCAGAGAGGCTGACGGGAATGATGCTGTGAATAGGCCGAATGCTGAATGGCTGAAAAATAAAAGAGAAAGGAAGCGACAACTTTGTTCACCGTGAAGAAAAAGAAGCCATAAAACAAAAACTAACACAAAGAAGTGCCTTGAAGGGCAATGACAGCGGCTGAAGATGACGTATTAAATGTTTTTAAGCTCGAGTTCATCATCTCATTTCTAAGATGAAGAACATTAGCCCCTGCTGCAGAGAAGACCAAACTAAAGGCCCGGCAATATCATAAGCGTGAGCCGCATTACTCTTTTGACACTGCCCCCTGGTGATAGTACACTGTTACAGCACGCACACGGCAGTCTGCAAAGCACGTGAATGTACATTGCACAAGGTTAAAATATCAATACTACAATCTAAATATCAGGAGAACGAATCAATATGTTTTCAGATGTGTGGCTACATGTTGGTGACCTTTTCCTGGATTCTGGCTCCACTGACAGGTGAGAGGTAGGAATTTCAAACATGATAATGATAACCAGGAAAATACTCAATACTCAACACCATTTTCCGAGAAGACACAAATCAGGGGTTCAGGGTTGTATCAGGAAGGACACGCAGTATAAAACGAGCCAAATGAAACATGTGGTACCTGCTGTAATGACCCTTTGTAAATTAACCGCAGCCGAAGCACACTATCTTAACGATACCATAATGTGGGTATCGGGTAACTGATAATAGTTAAACCAGTCACAACATTTGGCAACACCTCCCTGAGCCTGGTTCAGCCACAGCTTTCTTCCTTTTAAAAGGGAGTTTTTCCTTCCCACTGTCTCAAAGTGCTGCTCATAGGGGACATAGGGGTCTTTACCTTAAAGGTGAAGTGTAGGGCTTCAAAAATATGCACTGACCAGGGGAAGAGTTGTGGTAACTGTTCAGTACTTTAATGATGTTGACATAAACTAGTGAAATCAATTAGTATCTGAGTCTTGATTTATTTTGACAAACCTTACTCAGTAACGACCCTTCAGGTCATCTCCTTGTTGCCAACTGGTGCCTTTTCATTCCCCATTAGAGCTTTCTTCCCCAGAAAAGGAGCACCGGGTAAAAAAATTGACAGTGCTGCTCTGTAACCGATCTCCTGCACTCGTTGGTTTCCCACTGCTCAGCAGCTGCAAACACATGAAGCCCTTGCTCTGAGAACAAAGTAAGAACCTTTCTGTTTCTTCTGACTTTCTCTCTTAGCACAATTTCAAATGTAAATACAGCCAAGAATCACAGCAAAGTCATTATCTTTACCAAAACTGTAGGGGGGCTTTGTTGGACGATGTTGCAGTGATAACCTCATTCGTGAGCCCGTTCGCCGAGATTCTTTGTTAGAGGTAATTACACATTATAATATTATCTCAGCTTGTTCTTGTTCAGTTCCTCTCACCGTTGCAAACTTTTATTTAAATAAACGTTTACGGGAACTCTCACGAATGCTGGTATAGCTGCTTCTGCAGCAGCGCCGAATCCGAGTCTGTGTGAGAGGTATGCGTAGCTTCTGATTTTGTCAAATGACATCTCCACCCACAGCTCTGTCTGCTAACCCCAGCATGAACCTCTCGTGGATCTGTGTAGTTCTCACAGCGTTTACCTCCTGACTG